AACTCATACAGAAATAGCCAAAGCCTACCAAAGTGCTGAACAATAACTCAAATAATTAAAAATGCAAATATATAAAAACCATAAGAAATGTATTTGTAAAATGCCAGTGTCTCATCTTTTCACACCTTTGCATCTTCAAGAGGGATCGTTAAGAGTGGATTTTAGCATTGTACAACAGATTTATATACATACTACACACAGGGTTTAACTTTTGTTGAAAACTACATCTTCATTTATTAAACAAAATGTGGTCTAAATGGATGTGTCTGTAACCGATGTGAGGTCCAACTTCACGGAGACAAATGATTTTGAAAGAGGTTCCCTTCACAATAGAAATGAAATTGACCACGTCACGATTGTGAGATGGATTTTATTTAAATTGTGTCAAGGAATCACAGCTTTTGTATCTTTATGACCTCATTACGGTTACAAACTTACCATTATGTTCCAATATACACATAAATACTAGACAACCCACTTCCAAGTAGAATATCATCAGATTTCATTCCACACAAACCTTAACACAGCTGACCTCAATATTTAGTATCTCACCAATGCTGCTATTTATTATTCTTTTTGAAGTTCTACTGCGGTATCTTCTTGAAATGGAAAAAAAAACAAATACAACAGTGGCTGAGCTGAAAGAACAGAACTTTTACAGACGTGCAAAAAGCTATATTTCAATTACAAAACGTCAAAAAGCAACAAGCTCCTCTGACTGCGGCGCCTATAGGATGAGTGCGCCACATGTGAGCAAAAGGTTTATTTGAGGGCAACAGTTTTCTGGTCCATGTGGTTGGAGAGCAGTCTGTGTGAGGTTCAGGTCCCACTGGGAGCTGAATAACACTGCATGCTGAGACTGCAGGGCCCACGGGAAAGGACAAGTCGCATACAGCCTTTTACTTATGAGCAACGCCAAGTAAGATGAGATAGACTTTCTTGATCTCACAATGGAGAAATGTACAAACATAAATAAAATCACTCAAGGTGTGCAAAAGACAGGAAATGTGCAAAAATATTAAAAAGTTTACAAATTAAACTAAAGTGACTACATAGTGACTAAGTGACTAATGACATTTAACACTAGGACTCCCACAATTACTAACTTACACACACAATTACACAATGAAACTACTAGAACGCCCAGAGACGTGATATTGACTGCTCTCATTCAAACCTATAGAATCCAGAGAAATGTCCCCCACAAAATGTCTATTCAATTTATTGAATAGACATTTATTTATTAAAGTCATTTATAAGGTAATTTTTGTGTGCTAAAACAGTTTGTTGAAAGGCTAAATGCTAAAGAACAAATGCTAACTGCTGACAGTAAACGATGTATTGCTTTAAAGAGAAAGTAGTAAGTCATCTTTATCTATGCAGCTCATTTTTACAGACCAAGGTCACCCAAAGAGCTTTACAATGTTCAGAGTTTGTTCCATTTTCCACCACACACGGTGATAAAGTGAGTCGCTGAACACACTGGTGCATCAAAGCCCCAACCAACAATCATTCACTCATATTTTTCCTAATGTACATGTTTTTGATGGAAGGGAAACCGGAGCACCTGGAGGAAACCTATGCAGACACATGCAAACTCCATGCCACAATCTCTTGCACACTAGTAAGAAAGAGCCTTTATTGAAGTCATTATCTAATGCTTTAGGCTGAGAGTTGTACGGCTGAGTCAGGGTGGTGCTCTCTTTTTCACTTTTCTGTCTGAAAAAGTCAAAGTGCATGTATGTGAAAACAAGTGATAGAACCAAACTGTTTTAGAGCTAGAACTAAAAAAGGCAAAATTTTACTGATTGAGCTGAAATAAAGAGCTTGAAAGCAGTCAAAATTACCTTGAAAAATATCAAAACCAATTTTCCACTTTCGCAAAATGATTCCACACCTGTCAAAACGCATCAAAAGGCAAAAAAAAAACCTGGCCTCAAGTTATTTTTTAATTCAAAATCATTTTTTGCAAAGTGAAGCAAAAAATGGAGCTCGGTCTGGAACACTGGCTGCTCTGTTCATTTCCAAGTGGCCAACACACACTTGGACTTAGCTCCTGTTGTGGAGCCTCCAGCAACTGCACAAAAAAGCAACAATACTCACACACAAAAAGCTTTGGAGTAGTTGGGCAGAGTTTTACATTTTTCATGTTTAGACTTTGGCATTTACAGTTATTTAATAAAAAGGAAAACATGGTGGTTAAGGATGATGTCATAACTCCGGTATAATGATCCTTTGAACAATGAGAGAGAGAGATAGACACTTTAAGCCTAGCGTACATCGACATAGAAACTGGAGACAACTAGTTGCAAGGCGGCTTTTGGCAACTGAGAGAAGATGGTGGGAGATGATCAGTTGCCGAAATCGGTCGATGTGAGCGCTCTTACAACTGGAGATAAACAGTCGATCTCCGGATTCAGTCAGTTGCCCGTGTTCTACTTTTCGGCAACTAGTTGTCCTCAGATCCGGAGATATCACCCGATGTGCGCGCTCCAACAACATGTGTTGAGAGTGTTATCATGTGAGGTATTGCGCGCCCTCTACACTTTATGACAGAAAACACACTGTAGTTGAGGCCAGTTGCTGTTGATGTTTGCGCTGTTATTCCCGAGACTGGTCTGCTACCGGGAGTTGCCCGTTTTCGTCAGATTGTCGATGTGTGCGGGGCAGCAACTCAAAGGTGACGGATATAATCAGTTGCCAGTCCGATGTACGCTAGGCATTACTATCAACGCTGGAGAAACCCAGGTGTCTATAAAAGCAGCAGAAACACTTCCTTCCATTCAAAAAAACCTAAAACAAATAAATACATAAATCAAGGAAATTGACCAGTTACAAGTCAGATCTAAAATCCTATGAACATGAGCTATCCATGCAATAGTGGAGGATAGTGCCTTTTTTGTTGTGTTTAATTCTTTATTTCAGCAATATATAAATCAAATCTTATCTACGGTTGCATAAACTGAAGCAAAGTAATTATCTATTTCGTTAAATGTAAAGAACAACAGCAGTTTTCACTCTGCTTCGGGGAGGGCCTACTTACTGAGAAAGTGTTAAAGGACGTTTTTATGAAGAGAAAAAGACGTCAATTAACTCCAATAAAGTAGTTATTTATTTATGCCGCGGCTGAAAGCGGGGTTCTCATAGTAAATTGAGTCATTAAAAAAGCTTTTTACAAGGTGGAAGTGGGTGTGATCGCTCTGTTAAGTTGTGCTCCACCTGCCAATTACCCCATACGAACCACAGGCCAAGTTCAGACACGACTCGAGTTTAAATCTGCCGTGGCACAGGTTGTGTTTGGGACTGGTTCGATAGAAAGTTATGTTTTCTTTCTGTTGTAACAAAGTTTACAGATCATATATGGTTGTGCTTGAAGATGTGCACTCCCAGGCAGAAATTCTGGATTTTTTTCTGCCATTTTTCTGAGAAAATGAATGCTAACCAATGAAAACAAAAAAATGCTCATTGTTTGTGGTTGTGTGAAGCCACTTATTAACAAATAAACATGTTTTCTGTTTCAAATTTATAATGTCAAGAGAAAATACTCAAATGACCCTGATTAGGAGTTTCCATGCCCCAGTTCTCAATGGCATGCGTTGCCGATTTATAATCTACAGGTGGAACTCAGGAAATTAAAATATTGTTCAAAAGTCCATTCACTTCTGTAATTTAACTTAAAATGTGAAACCTTCAGACCCCTGACCGATGCATTATTATTATTATTATTCATAATCTCCACAATATCTCTGCCTTTTTATCAACATTCATGGACATTGGTCTCTCTATGGACCAAAACATGAGTATTTTCTGCGTCTAAACTGTTGATTCTCTGATCTGTGTTGGTGATTTCTATGGTTTTGTTAAGTCCTCTGAGATGACTGCTGTTGTGATTTAGGGCTATACTAGAATAAATTGAAATTATATTCTAATGTATTCTAACCTTTCAAGCACAACTGTAAATTATATTCCTGTCATCTTAATTTAACCAGACCACATGAAATAAAGTGTTCAGAACAAACTAGAAACTACAGTGAAAATAACACCTGGAAAAACAGAGACTGATAGAAAATAAAGACAGATGCAGTTGGACGTATTGCAGCCCAAATCCACACACCAACTCACAGCCAATGGTGGTCGGCCATGCCTCCCAGGGCTCCCATCTGCTGGAGCAGCAGTCCAGGTTTGGTATAATGAGAAATAATGAGCCTTCAACAAACAACAACAGATTGAGAAGACACTCCGGTTCGTCCATTTTATTCTCTTCATTTATTTTCTAATTGAATAGCTCCAAATACTTTTCCACAATATTGATGTGAATTCATTTAGAAAATAGCGGTCTCCAAACCACAGCACGAGTCGTTTTAATTATACAAAAGAAAACACAGCATTTTCTAATAAAGACGAATACACATAAATATACTGCTGGCAACATTTTCAGATTCATGCTGCTATAATCTGGAACAATCTTCCTGAAAATGTGAGACAGGCTTCTTCTCTGACAATGTTTTAATCCAGGTTAAAAACAGTTCTGTTTAGCTGTGCATACAACTGAGGGATTGTATATTTTTAGTTTACTTTTTAATGTACTGTGATTATTTATGATTTTAATGCGATCTTGTTTTATTCAGCACTTTGAGTTGCCTTGAGTATGAATTGTGCTATACAAATAACCTGGCCTTGCCTTGAAATACTTGCTATGAAAAGGTTCTCATGTCTATATTATGCTGATGTAGAATTTACAAAGAACAAAAATATAAAATCAATAATCGAGAATTGTCAGCGCTAAGGTAGAAATTAACAGAAAAAGGCAGTAGTTACAGATCTCTTGAGATAAAGCTATTTATAAACAAGAAGTTCAGTCTCTCAGTCGGGGTAAATGTCATACAACAGTTCTAACAGGACAAAAAACAGAAATTAGGAAAAAATAAACAGAATGGCACTGGAGAATGAAAGCAGCCGTTTTGCCTTGCAGCTCCGTGAAGCACAAAGCTGACCCCACATCATGTTAAAGAATCCAATTGGCCTTGCACGACTTCAAGCTGCAACAAACCCGTTTTTTCCGAGTAAAAATCATGAGCAACAACACAGCATTGTGCAAAATGTAGTGGGAGAACGGACCTTGTTATAGAAGTCAAGGAGCTCCTGGTGGTTGAACTCCACAAAGACGTTTTCTTGAGCCTGAAAAAGGAGAAAGAAAAACCTCAAAACCAGTAAACAATCCAAGAATATGTTCGTCAGCAGGCCCTGGGCTTTCTATAAAAACCATCATTAATTATTGCAGCGCTCGGTCCGGTCTGTTCCCTTCTCTTATCCATCAGAGGGTTTAAAAATACACTCAGAGTCCACCTGCACGTGGTCACAACACACAGCCTTCTCCATTACGCCATTAGAAAAGTTTACAAGCATTACTATTCAAAGTTAGTGTTAGTGTTGGCACAATAATAACATGTCTAACTCATTTTTGATACTCAACACCACGTTTGATAACAATTAACTTTCTTTGAATTGTCTTTTTGTTAGCGTTCCTCAGCGTGTCTGATCGCTCCCGGAGCTTCTTGTTCTTTCCTCTCAGTTTTGGAAATATGAAATATGGGACTCATCATAAGTCAAACTGAATGATGCCATTGGGACTTAAAGTGTTTCCTAAAATTACACAACATATACAGTGCGAAAGTATTCGGCCCCCTTGAACCTTTCAACATTTCGCCACATTTCAGGCTTCAAACATAAAGATATAAAAATTTAATTTTTTGTCAAGAATCAACAACAAGTGGGACACAATCGTGAAGTGGAACAAAATGTATTGGATAATTTAAACTTTTTTAACAAATAAAAAACTGAAAAGTGGGGCGTGCAATATTATTCGGCCCCCTTGCGCTAATACTTTGTAGCGCCACCTTTTGCTGCAATTACAGCTGCAAGTCGCTTGGGGTATCTCTCTATCAGTTTTGCACATCTTTCGCAAGGCACTGTAATCCCAGTTTTCGCCACGTCTACTTAGCCCTACTCTACTTTTATAGGCTTGGCTCTTTTTTAGTACCTGCTTGGCTCTGGTTCTAACGAGGCCGAGCTGGTACTGAAAGTGTTATAACTGACAGAGATTGGCCAGAGGTATTTCCCCTGCTGGTTTGTGGTGGGTAGAATTATCAGGATGTGTTATCAGATACTAAAGCTTAATGAAAACCTGAAAGTAGAGCGGAGTAGAGTAGAGCAGGGCCAAGTAGGGCAGGTGGAAACGGGGCTACATATGGGGAAAAAAAGAATACCTAAAGTATAACTTAGGTATTCTATAACTTAGGTAGAGTATAACTAAATCAACATACCATTCTGAAAAAAGAAAAAAATATATATGTTTTTAAAACCTATTTAAATTATAACTACTACTGAGTGGCTGAAAGTGCTTTTTTACCCTCGGGCAAAAAGATAAAGCACAAGAAACTTATTACCAGTGAGCTCTGATTAAAATATCAAAATCCTTTTAAACACTTGAAAATCTGACAGAACTAATTGGTTTGCACATGAATATTTTTGCCTGTAAATGAGGAATTTGAAATTTTACACATATATAAATTACCTCCTGTGGACCAGGAAGGGTGCTCTAAGAATTGGGGGGAAGCTCTTATTGCCAACCCATCCAAACCATATACATTTTCTTACTGAAATATACAACTAATATGCATGAGATGAGAGTGCAAAAAAAAAATTATGGGTTAATCAAATATAATAATATATAACACATTAGGTATAAAAAAGAAATGCACAACACTTTACAGCTTTTTTCTTGTAGATAAGTCAAGAAAAAAAACCTGTAATGTTTGGACCACATAATTGAGAGCACAGTGAAGAAAAGTGACGTCCAGAAAAGACTAAAATGATGACACAACACTGAAATGTGGAGGTGAAGAGTTGCGAAAGAGTAGTTTGATTGCCTCTACCCTGCAGCGTGAATGAGGCCATGGGGTCTGGAGGCTGCACAAATTAAGGCCATGTGTCACAGACCATAAATGACAGAAGTTGTAATTAGATGCAACAGAAAGTTCATAATAGAATTGAAGCGAACATGTATTTTTAGCATCTGCTCCACATTGACACTGGTGGATGTGACATTTTGATTGTGACGTGGTACTTTCTGAACATGTGAACTGTGAATATGGATAGATGTTTTGTGACAGCGCTCAATCATCAGATATGCAGAGAATGTTGTTAATGGTTACTGTATTTTGTTGATTTGCTACGTTGTCTTTATATATGTTTACCTTAAAATACATATAATAGTAATAATTAACCTTCATTTGAAAAGCACTTTTTAGAAAGAGTGTTTACAAAGTGTGGCACAGTCAGCCTAAAAACAATACAAGTCATCAAAAACCATCATAATTATATAAATTAGCTAAAAGAAATACAGGAGAAGAATGCAGAGAGAGACGGCACACAAAATGACTAGACAAAGTAGAACAGTGAAATTCAATAAGTTAAGTTTTCAACAGACAGTTAAAGACTAGTTTTTGATAAAAGAGGGTTTTTAAAAATGGCTAAAAAAAGATGAGCTCAGGGAATTTACAAAAAAACAATCCAATCAAAACTTTACACCATGGAAAAAGCTTGAATCTTTATAATTTTTTGACATGCATATAAGGTGTTGCACAATACATAGAAGTGTATAGTGTCATAAATGTTTTTGTCAATATCAATAAGCATTCAAATATAATCTTTCCAATACCAACATATACACGAGAGCATGTTGTATGATGGATTGCCACATTATGGTGTGTATATATTGTTATCGATTACAAGTTTATGTTTATGTCATTTCCACATTGTATTCAAATGTCATGTTAAATGATGATGAAGAGCCAGTCCACCTCGCGGTTTCATTGAGGTCAGACTCAGGACAAAGTATCTGAAATGCCTCATCACTCAAACTAAAATCTAACTCACTAACTTCTCTGTTACAAAGTGAAAGGTCTACTCTAGCTATAATATAATAAATAAAAGTACATTTTTCATCAAATATTACAATCTAAACATAAATTAATGAAAGGAATAGGTGGAGATGATGCCACCTTGTGCCTACGCTCATTTTCATTGCACTCCTGCTACTACGTAAGGCCTGGCAGAAACACAGACGGCTCAGAGAACTCAGAAGTACAATTGACCAATCAGTGTCGGTTGCATTTCAACAAAACAGTAAAAAATTGGTTGTGATAGATGTAGACCAAGCCATACGAACAAAGATGAAGTTTGGAGAGTTTTAAATACGTCACATTCCTTCATACGTCACGACTAAACAGCAGTGATTGGTTAATCAATAAGGTACCCGCCCACTGTCGAGTGAATTAATCATAATGTTGCACTTTCAGGCGGTTTCTACAAAGTGAAATGAATCCAGCTGATGCATCAGGCTAGATTTAAGCACCACAGAGGCTCAAATCAACAAACGCAGCATCCAAGAACGCATCTGCACATATTTAATGAGGCAAAAACTGTCAACTAAAGCCAAAACTTAAAAAGAAAAATCTTGCCTAAAATTCACTTCACAGGTCTACACCAAGTACATTAACAATTCCAAATGGAACACCAATCAGAAACCAGTTTATGTTGAAAAATATTAGTAAAGTAAAACCATGATCACACGGGAGAAAGAGGAATCATCGAAAATACAGGCTCTAGGTACATCGTACATACACAACACACTTCAATGAAAATAAGCCTCCTTAATTGCTCAAGTCAAATACAATGTTAAAATATGAGTTTAGTTCACCTATCCAGTTATAATGTTAAAACCTAAAACATTTTAAACATGGATTCATATTTATCACATTTGTGGTAAAAATCAGTAATTTATCTTCCACTTTAAGAACGCCTGCACCACTGAGCCCATCTCGTTGTTCCGTGGGGCAGACTTTACAGGAAACCTCCCCGACGCTGCTCTGACAGATCTGGGCTAACACTAACGGGCATAAGAGGCACCATCATCTTCATCATCATCACCACTGCCTTTTATCACATGTGGCAGGACACACCAGACAGGGTTAACATGCAAAGGTAATCATTACTTTATACTGTGCCGATTTAGGCTAGCAGCTACGGGGAATCACACGAGAAAGATTGGTAATAAAAAAATAACTGAGAAGAAAAAAGAAATGGAATTGTGAATGGTTGGGGGTACTTTGTTCATAACTAACGCAACTTGTTCCAATAGAAGGAATCTTGTCCAAGTAAAATTTGATGGTGGAACAATGAGATATAAACTTTGGTCTCATAGTACCAAGTGATAATCATGAGACAGGCCTGGACATGAGCTAGCTTAAGCAGGGGAATCTTTTGGGCGCCACTGTGAAGCGTGGGGGTGGAAACGTTATGGTTTGGGGCTGCGTTAATGCAAAGGGTAAAGGACGACGGATCTTTGTAAATTAATTGATGAATGGGGCAATTTATTGTGAGATTTTGGGCAAAAACTTCCTTCCATCGATGACAGTTGGGTCTTCCAGAATTACTTTGACACAAAAACCCCGGCTCCGCCAATGAAGGAGTGACTCAGTAAGACACATTTCAAACGATCACAGTGCCCAGAAAGTACCTAATGCCCAATGACAGCCACATAAAACTCCACAGCTCCAGAGAAGGTGTGCATGGAAGAATGGGCCAAAATACCAGCTACAGTGTGTGCAAAACTGGTGAAGACCTACAAGAAACGTTTACCCTCTGTCATTGCCAACAAAAGATTGAATCATGTGTTATTATGTCACAAATACTCTACGTTATATAATTTAAATTGTGCAATACCACTGTTGTGGGAACACTTCTCAAAAAACCAATGGCCAGTCAAAAAAACTGTTTCTCCAGTTTATTTCCCCAGTGCTATTTACAAACATGTGAAAAAACAATATATGTACATATTTACAAATGTACATAAGTTGTGTACATAACCTTTCAGAATGCCAGGATACCACAATAGCCGGATGTTGCCCTCTCTGCAACCAGGCAAAAGACTCCCTGTACAGCCCAAACAGCTCCCCTCTTATGCCCCAGGCCCCTCCCATGGGCGTTACACAAAATAGTTAATATAATTTTACAAAACAACCCTTTCTGGTAGAAACTCCTCTCAAATTATCAATACTATTATTTCAACATACCTCCCCTTTAATTCCCTTCCATGGATATGGGAGATATCATTAAACAAAGGAATATTAAACAAACCAAGCGTGAAAGCGCACTTAACCCCAGTATAAATGGCATAGCCAAAGATGCGCTCGGTTTGCCCGGTCACCTGGTACTACGTACGCGGAAGGAGGAGAGCATGAACAGGCGCGCGCGCGAACCCGGTGTGCACCCCGAGCTGCAGCGAGCCATGGATGCTGCTACCGTGTGGTTTATGGAGGGGAGAAACAAGGGGATGTGTGGAGACCTGCGATTACGTAGCGGGACCGGTGAGTACAACATGCTTAATTGTGGTGTGTAAAACTCTGCGCGGGAGCGCGCGTCTCGCACCGGGAAGTATGGCCAGAGTGCGCGCACAACCAGAGCATTAGTGACAGGGGGAGAGCAATGACTCCGTCACATTACTTCCCCCCTCTCCGAGGTTGGCGATGTGCGGCAACCTTGAAAGGAAATCAGCTACCACGTTGGACTTCCCTGCTCTATGCCAGACTGTGAACTGGAAAGGCTGCAAGGACAGGTACCAACGTGTAATCCGACAGTTTTGGTCCTTCATAGTGTGGATCCAGGACAACGCTCTGTGGTCTGTCTCCAGATCAAAAACTCTGCCCAACAGGTAGTATCGAAGGCTTTCTAAGGCCCATTTGATTGCCAGTCCTTCTTTTTCCACCGTGGAGTAACGGGTTTCTCTGGGCAAAAGTTTTCGGCTCAGGTAGAGCACCGGCTGCTCTTCCCCAGGTTCTCCTTGGGCCAGAACCGCTCCGAGTCCAACCGCTGACGCATCAACCTGGACTAGGAAGCGGCGGGTGAAGTCGGGACTCTTGAGGACCGGAGAGGAACAGAGGCAAGCCTTGAGGGTTTGAAATGCCTCTTCACAGGCTTTGGACCAGACTACGGGATTCCTCTGTTCCTTCGCAGTCAGCGCGGTCAAAGGTGCGGCAAGGGTGGCAAACTGAGGGACAAAGCGTCGGTACCAGCCTGCCAGGCCCAGAAAGGACCGCACTTCTTTTTTCGTTCGTGGTCGCGGGCAATTTCGGACGGCTTCCACCTTGTCAACTTGAGGACGCACCTCGCCTCAGCCAAGTCGTTATCCAAGGTATTGGGTCTCTTCTCTTGCCCACTCGCACTTGGATGGATTTAATGTCAACCCAGCTCTCTGGATTTTCCCCAGGACCAGCGCAAGATGTTTGAGGTGGTCTTCCCAGCTGTTGCTGTATACCACGACATCGTCCAAATAGGCAGCACTGCAGTGGCTACAACCCTGTAGAACCCGGTCCATAAGCCGCTGGAAGGTCGCTGGGGCACCGTGTAAACCAAAGGGCATCACAGTAAATTGGAACAGCCCGGCGGGGGTCTGGAATGCAGTATAGGGCCCTTGCCACTTGGCCAGCAACTTGCTATTAGACGAGGGAAGGAGAAGAAGAACCCTTTGGCCCGGGTGAAACTCACGATGCCTTGCCTGTTGGTCGTACCAGGTCTTCTGGCTTCTCTGGGCCTCAGTGAGGTTGTGGGTTGCTTCCTCCTGGTATTTCACCAGCCGTTCCCTCATCTCCAGCACATATTGCACGATTCTCCCATTCCTTACGAAGTAAATCCAGTGGACCCTGGACATCCCAGCCATAAAGTAGCTCGAATGGCGAAAAGCCTGTAGATGCCTGGGGAACCTCGCGGTAGGCGAAGAGCAGAAATGGCAACCACCGGTCCCAGTCCTTGCCCGTATCAGCGACAAACTTCCGCAACATCTTTTTAAGCGTCTGGTTAAAGCGCTCAACCAGGCCATCTGTTTGGGGATGGTAGGGCGTCGTCTTAATGGCAGAGATTCCAAGCTGCTGGTGGAACAGATGCATAAGACGTGATGTAAAATTGGTTCCCTGGTCAGTTAAAATCTCATCAGGTAGGCCTACTCTCGAAAAGAACTGCACCAGAGCGCGCAGAACCGCCGGGGTAGTAATAGTACGTAACGGAAACGCTTCCGGAAAACGGGTCGCATAGTCGGAAAGAACCAGAATATACTGACACCCCGTGCTACTCTTAACCAACGGTCCTACAATGTCCATAGCAACTCGACGAAACGGAGTGGATATGACAGGGAGCGGTTGAAGGAACGCACGGTCGCATTTACGAACGGAACAACTTTTTTGACAAACGGGACAGGTGGAACAGAACTTCTGTACGTCTGTATACATAGAAGGCCAAAAGAACCGAGAGCTGATGCGCAGATAAGTTTTGTTTCGTCCCAGATGACCGGCCCACGGCAATGTATGACCAAGGTGCATCACAACAGGCCGACAGATTTGCGGTACAACCAAACGTTTTACCCCATTCTCAAGATTGTACAAAACATCATTATCACTAACAAAGCCTGCTTTAATGTCACACACCGGTAGCTTTCCTACTTTAGCAAACACCAGATTTAAGAGTACAGTCATCTTTTTGCAGATCAGAAATGTTACCCGGTATTTCCCATAAGTCCTTGTGCACAGTGTCCTTATCTGGCTGCTTAGCTACCAGCCGCTTTTCAAACCGACGCTGACGCCTTGACTTTTTAGGCCCCTTTGTACCTCCCTCAAAAACACTGTCCTCAAAACTAGCAAAAGGCTGAGCATCTGAGCACTGGTTCTGTGGCTTTAGCGCATCAACCACCTGCAGACCATGGTCAAGGCCAGTGGGTGATTGTGCTTTTGTTTGAGCCTGGGCCCTCGTGACCACAGTGCATGACAAAGTCTTTTTGACACTGGTTGTGTTATCATTGTCCATCAATAAGTCCAGAAGAATGGGCAAGTCACAGCCTAGTAGGGCCGGAACGGGGAGACTGGCCACAACTCCGACTGTCAATAAGTAAGTCTGTCCATCAATAGCTACTGTTAGCTCCGCAGTAGGGTAAGGGTGCTTGTCCCCATGAACACAAATAATGTCCTCACACTTGCCATATTCCAAAGCATTAACAGGAACAAACTCTTCACGGACTAGAGACATAGAACTGCCGCTATCCAACAATGCTTCAATTGTTTGTCCATTAACCGTTACTGTTTTGTAGCGCTTTACCACTGTCGCATTCTGTTTTCTCAGACCGTGGAACATAGCATGCCCCAGACAACTTAGCCTTACGAATGGGACATAAAGATGCTTTATGGCCCAGCTGCTGGCAATAAAAACAAATCAGCTCCTTACCAGTTCCTTGATGTATGCCGGCCGGACTCGGGTTACCTGCTGTCACCGTTGGACCCTCGCGGCGTGGAAACCTTGGTGGTGGAGTTGGTTGACGTGCTCCTTTCCTGGCGTTGATGTACTGCTGGGTCAGTTTGGCAGCCGCTAGCCCCTCCTTCGGCTCATGCTCCATCACCCAGGTTCGGATATCGCCTGGGAGGACGCGTAGAAACTGCTCCAGGATGATGGCGTCTCCAATCTCCTCCTTGGTGTGCTCCTCCGGTCGGATCCAACGACGATACAGACCCTTTAACCGGTGGTACGTTTCTGCCGGATTTTCACCAGCGGAACAGTGGTGGATCTGAATTGCCGGCGGTACGTTTCGGGTGAAATGTCAAACTTTGCGAGGAGTGCCTCCTTTAGATCCGGATAGGAGTGTGCACTGTCCTCATCCATTGCCGAGTAGGCCTCCAATGCCTTCCCGGATAACAATGGCACCAGCCGACACGCCCACTCATCATCTGGCCAGGCCCAAGTCCTTGCAATGCGCTCAAAACGTAGTAAATAATTCTCAATATCCTCACCGGATTGATAGGGAGGGATCTTGGGGTCCCCGTAGGATCGAGCGTCTTGGCGCCGTGACTGGCCGCCATCCCCACTTGGCCTCCGGTCCGTTGGAGAAAAACTGGGTGGCCGCTGCCTTGGTGCTGGGGTAGGAAGGTCTATCCGAGGGCTAACGGCGGTCCAAGTTGAAGATGATGCAGAGGGAGGCTCCGGTCTGCGCTCAGACAGTGAAGACCTCAGCCCTTGGAGTTCGGCCATCATGGTTTCCTCCCTCCTCTGTTGACCTTGTAGGAAGCTGCGCATAACGTCCAATAGTTCCTCACCCACTCCTGCGGGCACTGGCTGGCCTCGAGTAGAGGGACCAGGACTACAATCCTCCTCGTCTGTATCCCAAGACAGGTTAACATCTTCCTCTTTTGGAAGGGACATTTTAGTCTTCTGCGAACGCAGTCCAGTTCGCTTGCCTGGGAAATGGGCCAACTTTCGACTGGCCATCCCACTTCTGACACCAAATGTTGTGGGAACACTTCTCAAAAAACCAATGGCCAGTCAAAAAAACTTTCTCCAGTTTATTTCCCCAGTGCTATTTACAAACATGTGAAAAAACAATATATGTACATATTTACAAATGTACATAAGTTGTGTACATAACCTTTCAGAATGCCAGGATACCACAATAGCCGGATGTTGCCCTCTCTGCAACCAGGCAAAAGACTCCCTGTACAGCCCAAACAGCTCCCCTCTTATGCCCCAGGCCCCTCCCATGGGCGTTACACAAAATAGTTAATATAATTTTACAAAACAACCCTTTCTGGTAGAAACTCCTCTCAAATTATCAATACTATTATTTCAACATACCTCCCCTTTAATTCCCTTCCATGGATATGGGAGATATCATTAAACAAAGGAATATTAAACAAACCAAGCGTGAAAGCGCACTTAACCCCAGTATAAATGGCATAGCCAAAGATGCGCTCGGTTTGCCCGGTCACCTGGTACTACGTACGCGGAAGGAGGAGAGCATGAACAGGCGCGCGCGCGAACCCGGTGTGCACCCCGAGCTGCAGCGAGCCATGGATGCTGCTACCGTGTGGTTTATGGAGGGGAGAAACAAGGGGATGTGTGGAGACCTGCGATTACGTAGCGGGACCGGTGAGTACAACATGCTTAATTGTGGTGTGTAAAACTCTGCGCGGGAGCGCGCGTCTCGCACCGGGAAGTATGGCCAGAGTGCGCGCACAACCAGAGCATTAGTGACAGGGGGAGAGCAATGACTCCGTCACAACCACTCAAAATCATTCTATGTAAATTCCCGTAATTTTGTGTCACTTGCAGTAAAAATGCACTGATGATGAAAGTCCCCTCTCCCCACTGTCAATTTATTTCCCACTGTATACAAAACATGTTAGATATAAATGAATTTAATGAAATCTACATCTATTCATGTCATTCATCAATTTGTTTTGGTACAATTGATTGATTTTCTGTCATGCTTTAGGAACAAGTCTACACCCTGCAGACATACATATATATACAGTGAGTTAATTAGCCTAGAAAAGATGTACTGTTCCTATTGAATATTCACCAGTCACTCTCTGTAACCTACATTGTGGAATCTCTTCAGTGTAAACAGGAGGTTTGAGGCGCTGTCTAACTCAGCCCCATGTGTTAAGACCATTCAACTCTGCACTTTCCAGGCTCTCAGTTCTATTTACATAGCTGTGGTCATTATTCCCTCTGCTCATTATGGATCGGAGAGCAATTTCCATTTGAATTGTAAATCATCTGAATAAATCCAATGGAGTATGTGGTAAATTGTGAGAGCAATAGGAAAGTTAACTGGATATTGACTGCATTAACATAACTGCAAAGAGACCACACAATGGACACACTTTCCATTTCTGTGCTGGACACAATAATTAGCAAAAACATGGGGGAAATAACTTATATTGATCTAAAGTTCTGTAATAGAAGGAGTGGATCTGTATTCAAACCTGTTTATGGATCGGCACCTGCTCCTTGACACAACATTGATGCGATCAAGCTGAATGTGCCGCGAGGCCTCACCCATATTAACGCTCAAATTAATTGAAGCTAAAATGCCTGCAGGATACTGGTGACATCCATGATCTTATTACCTTCTTCTTCTACCTTCTCATTTGAATGCACATGATCATTTTTCAGGACAAAAAGGACAGCAGAACATTGCAGCACAATAGACAGACTCTGTTTGGCATGTCAAGCTCACACCATCGTTAAAACCAGTCTCATTTTATTTCAGAAAAAATCTCTAACGCACTTGTATCCAAGGAGAAGTTATTTAACATATTTCACATGTGTTATATTAAATGTGTACATGGGGGCAAGCAGGTTACCTACTCGTGTCCAATTGCATGTCATTTGATATAGACTTGTGGAGACGTAAGCATTATACCCAGGAGAAGATAGTTAATGTAATATCCACTCTTAGTAAGTAAGTAAGTAGTTTTTATCTATATAGCGCATTTTTACAGACCAAGGTCACTCAAAGCGCTTCCGAGTTTTCCAATCACTCCATACACAGTGATGACAGAAGCGAGACGTCAAATCTCTGATTGGCTAACCTGCTTGAAAATCATAGAGTTTTTCTCAGAAATGGTCACATATGATTAGTACATGTTGACCTACTATCTGGAGACACATATAAAAGATGTAGATATGATTTAAACTAAAATTTAAATAAAAACTAATCTGAAAGGTTTGTTTGTATTTTTGTCAGACGCATTGGAGTTTAAGGCACCATTTGATGAGCTGGACTGAGAAACCCAACAAACTGAAAGTAGGTTAGGAACAGAAGAAGTATTACAACGCCATGAAGAAACTGGGCTCCAAGAAGCCTCAGAAACCAGTGCCACGACCTGAGGTGAGGACCCAGGACCTGAGGTGAGGAACCGAGACCTGAGGTGAGGAACCGAGACCTGAGGTGAGGACCCAGGACCTGAGGTGAGGAAACAAGACCTGAGGTGAGGATCCAGGACCTGAGGTGAGGAACCGAGACCTGAGGTGAGGACCCAGGACCTGAGGTGAGGAACCAAGACCTGAGGTGAGGAACCGAGACCTGAGGTGAGGACCCAGGACCTGAGGTGAGGACCCAGGACCTGAGGTGAGGACCCAGGACCTGAGGTGAGGAACCACTACCTGAGGTGAGGAACCGAGACCTGAGGTGAGGAACCGAGACCTGAGGTGAGGAACCGAGACCTGAGGTGAGGAACCAGGACCTGAGGTGAGGAACCACTACCTGAGGTGAGGAACCGAGACCTGAGGTGAGGAACCAGGACCTGAGGCGAGAAACCAGTAACCTTTTTAAGTTATAGTGTAATAAATGTACTGCATGTTTACACTTGTTGGTCTGGTTCACTTTAACTGGACCCAGTCTGGTTCACTTTAATTGGACCCAGTCTGGTTCACTTTGACTGGACCCAGTCTGGTTCACTTTAATTGGACCCAGTAAAAGTGAGCCTGTGTGAACGGCCTGTATCTGGTCTGCTTTGCTTCAGAACCGGTTCCAGGGCCTGGTGTTTGACCTGGTGACACAGCAGGTGTTTGATGTTACCATCATGGTGCTGATCTGTCTGAACATGGTGACCATGATGGTGGAGACGGACGAGCAGAGCGCAGAGAAGGAGGAGATCCTCTACTGGGTCAATCTGGTTTTCATCGTGCTCTTCAGCGGAGAATGTTCTCTGAAGATGATCGCTCTCAGACACCACTACTTCTCTGTCGGATGGAACATCTTTGACTTTGTTGTGGTCATCCTCTCCGTGGTCGGTCAGTGAAAAGCATGCGTATCACTCAAAGTTTAAGGTTAGGGTTAGGGGTAGAGCTACGGTAACCTTAACCTATCAAAAGAAAGACACAAACAAACACACACACACACACACCCTAACTGTCCATGTGTGTATTTCAAGGTCTCTTGTTAGCTGACATCATAGAGAAGTACTTTGTCTCGCCTACTCTATTTCGTGTGATCCGATTGGCTCGTATTGGCCGAATCTTGCGCCTTATTCGTGGCGCCAAAGGAATCCGCACGTTGCTCTTTGCACTAATGATGTCACTTCCTGCACTCTTCAACATTGGGCTGCTCCTTTTCCTCATCATGTTCATCTTCTCCATTTTCGGCATGAGCAACTTTGCCTATGTCAAGAAGGTGATGACCCAAACCACATCTGTAACAGAACTTATCATAACTGACTTCTATTGTGGCTCATTTAAACTTTATAGAACAATAGAAATCCCCTGCACTCGTCCTGCATGTACAGTCACAATAAACACCACACTTGGGCTGTAGATCGACAGCTGAAGTCGACCAATAACATAGACAGGAGGGCGGAAGTTTTTCAGGAATACAAATAAAGTTTTATTGTGTTTCTATCAAGATATCTGTCATGAACATTTAAAATCACATGTTGCCCATATTGGGCATCGTTCTTCATTAAACTTGGCTCTTATATCACCAGATGAAGTTACTCGCTCTGAAACATGGGGCGCCAATGTTCTAATCTACTCTGTGTAAGGGTTAGGGGTAACCCAACCCTAGGGTTAACGTAACCCTCACAGAGACAGGGTTAACCTAACCTTTTTTTCTGCCTGTTCTTTCAAACTTCTAAGGAGGCCATGATTGATGACATGCTGAACTTCGAAGACTTTGGCAACAGTATGATCTGCATGTTCATGATCACGACTTCAGCCGGATGGGATGGTTTGCTGATTCCCATTATGAACGTTCCGCCTGACTGTGACCCAGAGCTTGAGAATCCTGGGTCAGATGTGCGGGGGAACTGTGGGAGTCCTGGGGTAGGGATGATCTTCTTCACTTCCTACATCATCATGTCCTTCCTGGTGGTCGTCAACATGTACATCGTCATCATCCTGGAGAACTTCAACGTAGCCACAGAGGAGAGCGCAGACCCTCTGTGTGAGGAGGACTTTGACATGTTCTACGAGACCTGGGAGAAGTTCGACCCTGATGCTACACAGTTTGTCCAGTTCAGGTACAACCAGGAGACCTGTGCTATCTAGGGCCTTTACCAACATTGTTCATAATGTAAATAAATAAAACATGCAAAATAGAAACACAAATTAAATTCATGCTGCTTGCTGATGACATAAGTATTATGTGCTGGTGATGAGCAACATTTGGCCACTGTGGAAATTAAGATGAAAAACTTTAGCTTTAGGTTTAGGTTAGAGTCCTGGTCTGGATACGAGTCCTGGTCTGAGTTTCGGGTCTGGGTCTGGGTCTGAGAGCTGGTCTCGGTCCGGGTATTAGTTTCAGTCATGGTCTGAGACCTGGTCTGGGTCTGAGTCCTGGTCGGGTCTCAATCCTGGTCTGGGTCTCTGTCCTGGTCTGGGTCTGAGTTATGGTCTCAGTCCAGATCTGGGTACTGCTCTTTATAAATTATGTTTGAATTATGCTCGAATTCTTCGTTCTGAAACAATAAATTATTTAATTTAGTCCTAACCACAACTCTGAGTTGTAGGCCCGGGCCTTGTCTATTGGTCCTGGGTCTAGTCTTGGTCTGGTCTTGGCTGTGGTTTAGGTATGAGTTTTATCCAAGTCCGGGTCAATGCCTGGTCTTGGTGCAGACTTGTTCCGGATCCAGGACTTGTTTTGACCTTTGGTCAAGTGTCAGATAACTACAATCTAATACGTGCAAGTATTCAAAGAAATCCTACTGAACTGAACGGACATGTTGGAAGTAGTACAGAGTACTGAAGAGTACTACAGAGTACTGCAGAGTACTACAGAGTACTACAGAGTACAACAGAGTACTGCAGAGTTCTGCAATACATCAATACATCAATACTGCAAACACTTGAAATTTGATGAAAGTGTTGAATAGTTGAAATGTGTCAAAATCTGGTGGAGGAAGAAATCAACAGAAATAAGAAGATAGGATAAATCTCCTGGATCCTCATTGCCCACAGACAAGGAACCACTCAAAAACCCAGGACTGAGGCTTTAGATCCAAGACCGAGGCTGAAGAAGCAGTGCAGGCCAATGGTCCAGGCTGGGAACAACCAGGTCACAGGGGTCACACTATAAAACAAACAATGGGGTGGCGGATAAATAGCAATGAACAGACTACTGCTGAAGTCATTAAAATGAAAATGGGAAACAGGAGAGATTCATCCAGTTCACCGGACGTGCTGATCCAGGACCAGATCCTTGACACAAAGCTTGTTTTAGTGCAGTGTCTTTATGGAACCTTCTTGTTGTTTGTAGTGAGCTGTCGGATTTCTGTGATGTGCTTCAAGACCCTCTGAGAATCCCTAAACCCAACAAGGTTCGACTGATCCAGATGGATCTGCCCCTAGTTCCCGGAGACAAGATCCACTGTTTGGACCTTCTATTGGCACTAACTGCTCAGGTGAGCCTAGAAAGAGGGACCCTGACCATAGCCATGTCCTCCAACCCCTGGTCCTCCTACTCCTGGTCCTCCAACCCCTGGTCCTCCCACCCCTGGTCCTCCAACCCCTGGTCCTCCAACCCCTGGTCCTCCAACCCCTGGTCCTCCAAACCCTAGTCCTTCAACCCCTGGTCCTCCAACCCCTGGTAATCCAACCCCTGGTCCTCCAACCCCTGGTAATCCAACCCCTAGTAATCCAACTCCTGGTCCTCCAACCCCTGGTCCTCCAATCCCTGGTCCTCCCACCCCTGGCCCTCCAACCCCTGGTCCTCCAATCCCTGGTCCTCCAATCCCTGGTCCTCCCACCCCTGGCCCTCCAACCCCTGGTCCTCCGACCCCTGGTCCTCCAACCTCTGGCCTAAACACAGTAAACTAATTTAACTGATTTATAAATGTTCATTTTGACTTTTGAATGTGTTTGAATGCAGGTGCTGGGGGAGTCTGGGGGGATGGATGCTCTTAAAGCCAGTATGGAAGAGAAGTTCATGGCCAACAATCCCTCCAAGGTGAAACAATGAAACCATCATTGTTTAGTCTTTGTATCAGTAACATGGCCCTGTTGTGACCCCTGACCTCTGGTGCAGGCTGGTCTCCTGTCATTTCTCATGTTTCTCTGTGTGCTTTGTAGGTGTCTTATCAGCCCATCAGCTCCACGCTGCGGAGGCGACAGGAGGAAACGGCTGCGACTGTGATTCAACGCTGTTACAGAAGACACCTGCTGCAGAGAACTGTTCGTCTGGCTTCACTCAAGTTCAGAGCTCAAACTCATGGATTAGACCCAAACCCAAACCCTGGCCCTCAAACTGGGCTTAAAGAACGCATAGACAGACCAGATGCACCCGAAGACATGGACGAAGTGTAGAGAAAAGCCATCCCCAAGCCTCAAGCCTAAACCCTGACCCTCAAACCGGGCTTTGAAGACATGCAACCATTTCACCAACTTGACCCAGAGGTCCAACTCCAAATGATTCCACTCAAACCAGTCAAAATGCCCAGAGAGAGACTGGGAAAAGAGCGTAAAGTAGGGGGTCGAGACTCCGATCAAGGCCGAGGACATGATCTTTTGGGTTTGGGTTATAAACATATGTACATTTATCATATTTACAAAAACAAAGGCTTCTTCAATCTGTCCAGAGCAGATCTTCACGATGGACATAGGACTTCAGACGGTTGTTTCCTGACTAATAATAATGTTTGTGGCTGATAAACCAAAAGATCTCTAGAGTCATTCTAGAGTCACAAAAACGTTCTCAGGATTCAACGCGACCCAAAGCCATTACCTTTGATTTGCTGAGTTTGTGGTTGAGACATAGGAGAATTTCAGATGTTTAAGACCATCCTAACCAAGGACATAAAGAGACATGTTCATGGTCTGTTCAAGCATCTTTTTTAATCTCCTCAAAATGTTCAAATTACTTTTTTGTTTAATAATAAAAATATATTTGCATCTGTATGTTGTATTATTGTGTACTTCTTCTTCTCTTCTTAATGTGGTTTAACTGCGGTTAAAAGAGCGGCTCACACGCTACAACCATGAAGCTAAAACTGATTTAAAAGTTTTCATGAATGTCTTTAAGAAAAAAAATTAAGCAACATAACTACAACTATCCAAAACCAGTGTTGGGGAATGTTATGCTCGACTTTGAATAGAACTGTTCTTACATTTGTTGTGGAAGTTCTACTACAAAGATCATAACAGATATTTCTTTCATGCTCTTTATGATCAAAAATGCCACAGAGCAGGTACACATTGGCTCTCAGTCTGGGGAATCGCTTTAGGACCTCTCACTCTGAGCCTCATATACTCAAGTACCTCAGCGTCTGCACTGAAGGACATTGCGTCTTCCTCCTCATCAAAAAGTATGGACATTCTGAAGTTTCAGTATTGAACATTACACACAGTATTTTTCAGATGAATGACAGAGGCTCAGCAGTTCTCATTGTACAGTGTGACAGCAGCACTGCCTTGAGTTGAGTTGTTTAATTTTTGAATGAAGAGAAAAATATTGAGATATATATTGTATATCAAGATATAGAAAAATATATCAAGATATTTTTTTTAATCCATATTGCCCAGCCCTAGTGTGTAGGTTAGGGATAGGGAAGAAGAAGAAGGAGAAGATGTCACAGTGGGGCGGCTGTGGCTGTAAAGTGCCAAAATGCCATTGTGTCCTTAGGCAAGGCACTTCACCCCCATTGCCTAGAATGAGTCTGGTGTGTGTGTGACTGGTTGGTGGTGGTCGGAGGGGCCGATGGCACAGACTGGTTGCCTCGCTTCTGTCAGTGTGCCCCAGGGCAGCTGTGGCCACAGTAGTTTATCACCACCGTGTTTGGAGTGAATGAATAAACCGCCTTTGAGTGTCAAAAAAAGCGCTATATAAAACCTATACATTATTATTATTATTATTATTATTATTAAGAAGAAGGAGAAGAAGAGAAAGAAGAAAAAAGAAGAAGAAGAAGAGGGAGAAGCCCAAACTGGAGGGGGCAGCACTGAGCTACTTGGCTGTGGAGACTTCCTCAGACGGGCTGAAGAAGAACCCGCAGAGACGCACTGGTTCAAACATTAATCTGGGTAAAGCATCAGCTGGACCTCATTTTCTGCTTTATGTATTCATGTATATCACCCGTGTTTGTGTAGAAGAATGGGCACTATTTTAAAATCTTACAATAAAAGTCTTACACTGGGTCAAAGGCTAAATGCTAAAGCAGTGTTTGCTAGCAGGTGAGGATGTGAGTAAACTGAATATAATCAGTAGGGCTGGACTGGCCATCGGGCGTACCGGGCAATGCCAGAAGGGCCGATGCCCATATTTGAGCCGGTCTGTTTGCCTCATACAAAAAAAATGTTTGTGAAAAGTGTAAATCCGTTGAGAACTGTTCAAGGGGGCGCGTGTCCGCGCCCCCTCGAACGGCTTCCGCTGAATGGCTTTGCTCCTGCTGTAGTACACAGTGTAATCAATGGGGTCCTATGGGGGGGGTGGGTGACCTCATGATGGCGAGGTGATTGACGACATCACCGAGAACCCAATAGTTGCGTTTGCCTCGTCGTTCGCTTTAAAGCGACGTATCATTTGTATTATAGGTTACTATGGAAACCTATATATTTTTTGCTCGAAGATTAAAAAAAAAAATTCCTCGGTTTATTTCTTTTTTCTTCTGCACTTTGAACCTTAATTTGACCCCCTGAACATTGATGAAAAGTTGTGAAATTTTGCCCAAAATTCAGAACCGGCGAAAAATTTATTTTTTTGGTGTTTATTTTTATGGGACTAAAAAAACAACCGAACAGCGCCCCCTACAAAAGTCAGTTTACATTGCGCCTATGGGAGGAGGTCGGAGGTCAAGTTTGTCGTAGAGCCACAAAACTCGGTACACATGTTCCTCAAGTCAAGACATGAAAAAAAAGTTATTATGGCTCCGCCCCCTGACAACGAGGGAGCTCATTAATTTCAATGGGAAATGGAAAAATGAAAATTGATCTTTTTCACACATGTTGGCTGGAAATTATCTCCTCCTCGGCCGTTTCATCAATTTGTCTCAAAATCGCTCCACATGGTCTAAACCCATGTCCCATCTATTATTGAATATAAAATTTGGATCAGTTAAATGTTGTCCGAGCAGCGGAGCGGCAAAATTTGACATTTTTTCCCAAATTTTTGACAAAAGTAAATTTGCTCCCGTTTGCACAAACCAAACCAGATTTGCACCAAATTATTATCCATTGTTCAGCTCCAGGGTTTAGGTCATTTGAAAGTTGAAATCCTGAAATTGGCACATTAGCGCCCCCTACAGACCATGTCAAAGTTTTACAACAAAACAATAAATACAGTACATTACAAGTTTCTTTACCCGTTTACAGTTTTCAGCGCAGGGCTCATAATGTTGTATAATGTTGGAGCAAACTGTGTTTCAATCTTTTTTTAAAGGTTCTCAATGATTTTGATTGAGTAATAGGACTGTCCAGCTCATTCCAGATGTTTGGACCTTTGCAGGTGATACTAAAACTGGTACATTTGAGTTTGCGGCGTTTGCCCTTCAGCCAGTGTTTCCTTCTAGTGTCGTGTGTGTGTGTAGAAGTCGAGATAGGAATGAGCTGACAGAGGCGATCATTTAGTTTATACACAACATTATACATCACACAAGCATTGTATAGAATGTTACTCTCAATACGTTTCAGAAGCTTCAACCTGTAAAAAAATGGATTTGAGGGAGCGTTGTAATCAGACCATGTTATGACTCTAATTACTTTTTTTTGAAGAATATGTATTTTGTCTAAATAGCTAGGGTACGTGTTGCTCCATATTGGGTTACAGTAGTTTAAATGCGGTTCGAATAGAGATTTATACAGGACAAGGAGTGCTTCAAGAGGTAGAGTGTGTCTGATTTTATAAAACATGCCTAAATATTTAGATAGTTTTGTGATAAGTTCATCAATTTGTTTTTTGAAATTTAGAAATTCATCGATATAGATGCCTAAGAATTTAGTATGTTGAACTTCTGATTCTGTCGTTGATCTTTATACAAATATCTTTATTTTTACGAGATCTATTTGAAGAGAATATCATTGATAAAGCTGTTTCAACCACAGTTGAACTTGATGAAATCTCACACAACAAAGAGACAAAGTTAATCTTTTACTTGTTACATAGTCACAAGGAGAATGTCTTGACAGAGGCAAGGCACAGACCCTAGCCTCTCTCAGGACAAGTCTGAAGATTCACAGTCTGCAAGCCCCTTTTGGTAGAGCAAGACACACCTTCGTATGCAGATGGGAAAGGAAGAAACCAACACAACAAAAGACACTTAGCATATGAGCTCCCCAGACCTCCCGGTGTCTTCCTGAAGCTAAAGTGAATTACAATACAGAGCATTCAGCACATAGCCACATATGATTTACCAAAATGATAACTTAAGTTACATTCCAATATCATTCCCTCCTTTATATCCTTTTGATAAATCAAACAATCTATGTTTAAACAAGGAGAACATGGATGACTCAAAATGAAAAAACACACATCAAAACTGAAAAAGAAAAAATTTTCATAGTACAATTTCATATTGTTGTTCCATAAACTATTCCCCCTATTGAGACATACATGGCTCAAAACTGAACAATGTATTAACTTGAAATGTATTAACTTTGGTTATCAAATTCAACACCACGCACACGCCCAAAAGCCCAAAAACCCAAAGTCCATTTTCACAGTCCATAGACAGTCCTTTTGACAGGTCCTCTCAACCCCTCCTCATGTTTGGTTATGACCAGAAATGTCCACTCTGTTCCTGTTTCGAAACTCTTCTCTGTCTGCGTTTCCGACGCAAGACTAGCAGCAAGCCGTTCTCCAACAGCGACACAAAGCTGAACTTTCAAGTCGCAAATGTACCAAGATGTCACCTTCAATTCTCACGTCCATTTAACTTGAGCAAACGGCCAGCGCCCTTTGTGGGCCTGCGCGCTTTGATCCTTGCAAATCGGCCCGTGATTATTCGTCAGCAGGGGGGGGGGGGGGGGGGGGGGGGGGGGGGATTGTAGTCGTTTCGTAGTTTCGTAGGGGGGTCGTTTCGTAGGTTTCGATGGCTGTATGGAGATTGCGATGGGGTGGATTTTCTGTCCCACAATGGAAAATAGGTGGATTTGGTTGCTTTGAAGCTTTGGCAGGGATGTGGCATTTTTCTCAAAAACAAGAAGCACATTTGTTAATACATTTCAGAATCAAAACATAAGGTGAAGGGTAATTCTAAACCAAGAAACAGTTTCAAAGTTTCACAATGAAGTATTCTAAACCTGGTGTTAAACTTTTCTATAATTCTTGCTAATTTTTCAGACTTTCTTCACACATACTCAACTCGTTCTTGTAA